TAATTTTACTTATGAGTCAAAAAAATCAGGTACATGTTGAAAATGAAACAGCATTTCTATTAATCCATTTTAATTAGGATTATGGAACACAATCGCTTCCATAGTTATCTTTCACCAAACTGGGAATCGAATGGCATAATTCTTCTTAAATTACAGTACTTTGGCATTATTTAACACTGTCTGAAAGCATTGGCTAAAAATGTTGACTGTTAACTTAGATGAACTCAAGTTTTTTTTGAGTGTCTACGTCTACATCAGGAAAGTGAAACGCATTTTTTACTTAGAGCCACATGAGTATTATGGTGGCCCACAAAGGGTCAGTTGTAAGTAAGTAACTTAAACTAAAAACACAAAATGCCATGTTACTCGCCTCGTTGCTACGGCTAAGCACTGCTAACAAACAACAACTGAAATCTACGTGGTGTTTCATGCATAGAAACAGGGTTTTAACATGTCCTCTTATAAATACTGAAAAGCTCTATGTGTACGACTGACTGAATGTGCAATCAATACTACAGAAATACTATTAGAAGTCCTGAATTCATTCCAACAAGGAATTCCCACTGAAGAGGTGTTCAAGTTTGAATTTATAACTTGTAAGTGGGAAATTCCCACTTCCCAGTACCACTGGGTCGCAGCAAAATCAGCCAGCGAAAATGAAGGGTAATGGAAATTTTTCTGGCGGCTGGCAACTGCACAACCCTGTGCACCTCCACCTAGTGGTGTGATGCCATAATTTTGTAGGTAAAATAACCAACAAGCATTATGGAAAATGTTACGGTCAATGCTGGCTTTAAAGCAGCAGACACATTTTAAGACAATGATACATCTTTGAAGCTTTCGAGGGCCACATAAAATACTGTGGCAGGCCACATTTGGCCTACGGGCCTTAAATTTGACTCGTGGTCTAAAAATTTAAAGTTATGCTAACACGATCCGACTGCCCCAGAATGAAGTTCATTTGCAGTGACAGGTTCCTCCTGAAAATGTTGTTTGGTCGCAGAAAAACTGCAACTTTGCTTTCTTTTGTTAACATTTTCAAAAGAAAACAGCACAGAAAAAGTTGCTTTACTCTTTTAACTCAGGAAATCAGTCTGCTGTCAAACTAATAGCGTCCACCAACTTGCAACCAACATTTCAGCTCCTTCTCCCCACAAATTAATTCACCCTTTACCAAACTTCTCAGAACTCTCTCTCCTCCATAAAAGGCAGCTGGCAAGTTTCCTGGGCCACATCTTGGGGGTTATTTTTACTTTTTCCAGAGTGTTTTATCCCTTGTCCACCCCCCACCCCGACCCCACCCCCCAGCAAGGGATACTATCCAGGACTTCATCCAACAACACAAATACACTCTCAAACAGAGCTTTTAAAGAGAACCCAAAGGGTTCTAATCTCTTTAAAAAAAGATGTAAAACAGAGTTTGATGGACGCGAGAAGATAACAAAAGCTGCCAGGGAAATATGTCTGCCCTGAGTGTTTATCGGTGTGTTCATTGTCAAACTGTATATTTAGAAGTGCCATCAGCTGTTCAGAGGTACCATGCTGGCACTCTGTGTCCAGAAGAGGGGAGGGGGCGAGGGAGGGGATGATGAAGACAATGAAGAGGTCCAGTTGGGATGTATGACTGAATGCCAGGCTGAAAGCCATCTGGAGTCGTGTCTGGCTCACACAGTGACCCGTTCATGGGGCACAGGAAGTTCAGATAAACTGAAATAATTAACATTTGGATTTTTTAAAATTGTCTCTAAGACATAAATAAAGAGGAAAAAGTCCAGGATGTCTGTCCTGGTTGGCTGAGCTCCTTTTATGGTTGTTCATTCAGGTTTTTATTAATAACATCCATAAAAACAAAAATAAATTGTTTTCTGTTCGACGTTGTGTTCGTTTCCATCATACCTGATGTTTTTTTCTGAATCTGTGAGATTCATGTTCAAATTAAAAACCCAGCAAATCTAAAAAGGAATGTGTATCGCTTCCACCTTTCAAGCCAATTTTCAATCGTCTGTCGTATGTTGACAAGTGATCAGTTGTAGTCTTTTTGGTCACATCTTAAAACAATATAAACAATCAAATTCAATACAGGAAGTTATGCTCAGAGTATAAAATAGTAATTAATCTCAGCTACTAACATCAAATTTTTGCTCAACATCTGTAAAACTGACTGTATTAAAGTGACTTTTGTGTTTTTTTTAACGTTATCTGACTGCGGCTGCCATATTGGTTTGGCTTCATTATGCAATCAGCGTTACATCCAGTGATCCATTCCTAAAAGTTTTGTGAAAATTCATATTGTACCAGGGTATTTTGCTAACAGAGTTGACTCCAAATAACTGAAGGCAAAATTTTAACCAAAGATCTTCTAAATGTGCATTAAATATCACATTCAGCTACTGTTGGAACAAATTTTAGGTAAACATCTGTAAAATTAGCAGAGTTATGGTCAGTTTAGTTTATTTTAAGGTCAGGTGCAGCCAACTGATGGTCATTTTGAACTGGGTTGGCTCCAAAGGTTAGTGAGTCATAGAGGTACATTGAAGCTCTGCTTCCTGCGACTTTCATTACAATTTATTTAAGGAAAAACATCATTGCCTGTCTTATGCCTTTGGCAACATGTGATGCATATTCGCACCCAACTCAACATTTGTGTGTTTTTACATTTTACAAGACATTGTTTACATTTTCAAAATACTAAAGCTCGTAACTTTTTAAAAACTCAAGAAACACAAGAAATCCTTATAAAAAATCTTTTTTTATTTGATTCTTTTGTTAAACAAAAATGTTTTGATCTAACAGCTTTAAGTTTAAAAATCTTTTAAAATTAAAACTATAGGTTTTGAATGTTGTTTAAAATTTCATTCCACGAAACCTGATGCTGTAAAAATTCAGGATCAGAATCGAGCTTCTTTGGCCAAGTAAACTCACATGCAAGGATTTTCTCTGGTTGTGGTAAAGCTACAAATCAAGGAATTGAATGGCTTCAAATGGCATCAAAGTTTTCCTCAAAATAAACAATAATATAAATTATTCAGGATTACTTAGACATATACAGTAAGTAAAATATTTCACGAACCAGTGGATAGACGATAATAAAACTCCCAGTCAATGAATGGCTTGATGCATCTCAATAACCCTGGTAGAAAAATCTAAAAAAATGTCAAGTAGGTCCTCTGGATGAGTTCTTTGCTAAAAAAATGTTTTTTTTCCTCTCCTCCAAGAGACTTCTTCAGTCTGAGGAGTTTCAGGTAAACTCAGCTTTATAAACACTTTCTGATTATGGTGGACAAACAGGTTTAACAATGGCAATCAAAACTGTTCACAGCCCAACGATTAGGGCTCTGATTATTGCCTGTTGTTCACAGGTGGCTGAGTCATACTCGCAATAATAGCATTGTAAAAGGGGGACAACTGGACAAGATGACCTCCACCCTGTTTAACGACAGTTTCTCTTCACAAAAATGGCTTCCTTTACCCCTCTCTTTATCAGCAATGAGTGAACTACAACTGATTAAATTTTAGTTCAGTTTTTATGTCTCCAACTGAGCAGAGTTCCAGCAGATACAAATTTGGTATCCCAATTCTCCTGAACTCTCAGCTGGGATGTCCTGCCTCTTCTTCCTCTCTCCCTCCTCCTCCTCATCTTTCTCTCTCAGAGCATTTTCAGCCTCACAGAGCACTGCATATCTAACATTTCTGTCTTGAAACTCCAACCAATCCAGCTCTGCTTCTAACTGCAAGGTAAGACTCAACATTTTCCACATTATTTTTGTTTCACATTAATAAATCAGATCAAATAAGTGAGTGGTGGTAGAAATAAAACGTTGAATCAGAATCATTTTAGCCTGGGCAGAGTGAGACATCCTTTCTACTCTGGTAGTAAAAGAAGAGAGCATGTTTAACGTTAAGAGGCATGAATCACTGCGTCTTATAAAAAAAGAGTCATTGTTCATATAAAGTAAACACAGATCTGAAGAGGAGCAGAGGGGGAATGGAAACTGGACCGAACCTCCCTGAGGGATAAACACTAATAACATTAGAAGTGCTGGTGAGCCGAATCAGCTGAAACTTATCAGAGATTTCTAAACCCAGCCATGGATACCGGAAAACAAGATTATATTTCTGTTTAAAACCTTTCTGCAACTGATTTGTCTTAAAGTGACATTTAATGGCAGAGGAGAGAGGAGGTTGTACAATAAGGTTAATCTTTGAAGGTTATTCATATCAAAAGGAGCATTTGACTGTAAAAAATCAAAACTTATGGTGAACTTTAACCTTCCATTTTTCTACAATGACCTCTGAAGGAAGGGCAGCCTACATACCTACAAACCAGAAAAAGTTGAGACGTTGTGTAAAATGTCAATAAAAACAGAAAGCAATGAATGGCAAATTTAATAAACACATATTTTATTGGTTCCGTGCCTGTGTTTCCTGGTACGTACGTTCTCCTGGAGTTAATACCAAAAGTCATGAAACATGCTTGGCTCTCCCTTCAAATGTCTTTTAAAACAACTGAAAAAAAATACAGTGGAGGTATTGTACAGAGGAACATAGGGTTCTGGGAAACAGGAATGTCTGAGGAACCATCCAGGGAACATAGGTGTACCAGTGTATATAGGGATCCAAAGAACATAGATAGAGGGAATCCATCTAGCCACTACAGATGTAACAGAGTACATAGAGACCTGGGGAATATAGGGGTCATGGGAAACTCTCCAGGGAACATAGGTGTACCAGGGTACATAGGGATCTGGAGAACATAGGTGGGAAACATACGGATGTCTGGGGAACTATCCAGGGAACGTACAGTAGGTGTACCGTACCAGGGTAGAGGGATCTGAAGAACACAAGTGCCTGTAAAGTATCTGGGGAACATAAGTACTGGGAAACATGGGTCTCTGGGGAACACTGGGGAACATGTACCAGGATACATAGGAATGACCCCACTTTATTCACTGGGAAACCTAATAATCATCTTAAATGTTGAAATTAGGAATTTGAACCATTTTTTGGCAAAATGACTGCACAGGGTAAAAAGGTTAGGATAGGGCTATATTTACTAATATGAATAAGAACATTGAGCACTTGGACTAAGAGGCGTTCTGTTATAATAGATGCAGTCTGTGGTTTAGAATCGTTTTGGAATGTGAAAGGCCTTCCCTGAAAAAGACATCACCTGGACTGGAATTTTTTAAAGCATCACATTATTTAAGTCATACAGCATACTGAAACTGTTTTCTGGTGCACAGACATGTCCAACACATGCTGTTATCAAGCATGTGAGTGGTTCTGACCATGATGCCCCAGTTTGGATTTCAGGTCAGCATCAGCACCTACATGTTTCTTTCCAACCTACATTTCACCTCTGTCCACAGCTGTCTATCATAAAGGATGTACAAACATTACCTATTTGGTTCAAACCTAAATATTTGGTGCACTGGAAATAGGAAATAGGTAAAAATAAAATGTAAACATGCTTGTGTGTATACAGGAATGCACATGAATGTGTGTGTGTACCTGCACCGTGTGTGTGTGTTTAGCCTCATTTAGCGGTCAAGACGACAGCTGCTGGTGCCGACACATGCTGATAAAAGTCACACATTTGGAATGACTGGCATGTCCAAGTCTCCAGAGCTCTTCAAAGTTTGGTTTGGAAACATTTCAACCAGACTTCTGTCTCCAAGAGGACGTCTATCTAAACACACCTCTGTTCATCACTGATACAGATGGTCTTTAAATATTTCATGTCAGGTCATAAAAATGCAAAGACTTTTTTTATTTACATAAAAATACATAAAACAAACTTATCAAGAATGGGATTGGAAACTGCTGGTTTAAAGCCCTTGATGGAGTACACAAAATTATTTTATTAATTTTTGGGGGGGAATTTTAACCCTATCTTGTAATATTCCTTTAGCTGCAGTGACAACAGATTTCTCTCAAAGTGCATGAGATGTTTGGAGCATTTATTTTAAAAAATAACTTGAATAAAGAGTAGTCTAGTGAAGAGAGAAAAATCTCAAGGAACTTTCCAAGAGGGAACTTTTGGAAACATTCCCAATTAAAAACTTTCCATAGAAATTAAGGCAATGATGGAATTTTACCGAAAATTAAGGGTAATTTAAACGAACTGTCTCACAACGTTTACAAAAAACTTGTACAGTTCTCATTTTTTATATATTTTTACCAGTGTATTAGTATGAAAAAAGTACTAATAATAAAAAAAAAACTAGTAAAATCCCCTAAAATTATTGAAATGTCTAAATTTATGTGCAGAAAATGTCAAAATTTAAAATTTATTTAAACAACTCTGACCAAAACTATTTGCATGTTATTTAACCATTAGCTTGTTCTTTTTTTGTCATTTTATCTGCATAATAACACAACAATTTTGATATTTTCCTTTCTGAACATAAACTACAGCTCTGAACTAACCCATCCATGCATGTCCAGGTGATACACTTCAGCTTAATATTTTAAATTTCAGGTTTATTCCCAGAAATTCCCTCGAAAAGTTTCAAACGTTGAAATAGCCTGACATTTTGCAGTAAAAAATACAACTTAAGTAACAGAAGTTTACCATTTTTTTATTATTTTCCCCTTTTTGATCAAGTCGACTGATCAGTTTCAGATCATTATAGACGGAGTTGTTTTATTACGTCTCTGTCGGCAGTCGTGCCAGGAACATTTTGTCACTTTGTTTAAAAATATGTCAAATAACTCACAACTAAATCCATGAATTCATGAACATAGGGAAGGTTATGAATGTAGACCAACCAATAAAGGGAACAGCAAACCTGGAATAATAATCTTAAATTTAGCATTACTCCACAACAAACAATGGGCCTCACGCAAGAACATTCATATTCTTATTCTAAATTTCTCTTACTTTTGTTCGTACAAAGGGTTCGTACGAACATGTCACGTCAGATTCAACAAACTCTTCTATCTTCAGGAAACGTGCGTAAATGAGCTGCGTAAATTCCACCTGTTCGTATCCAGCTGCTCGTGCACGTGAGAGGAGATTAGCATAATTACCACCCCAAAAACACCATATAAGGCTATGTTTCCTGCCTCAGATACAAGGAAGTGTCCATTAAATGACAGCGAAAATTAAAAAGAAAAACTGTACGAGTTCAGAGATTGAAGTCCGTCTGTCAGAGATCCAGAAAAGAAAATCTGTCATTTTTAGCAGGTCAACTGTGGAATAAAAAGAGCTGCTAAAAGTATAAACAACTGTGTTAAATCATTTTCATTTATTCAGAAGACAGCGCTGCGCACCGTACCCCCCCGCGCTGTCTAAAGTGGTCTCAGTTGAGGTTCTGAAATAAGCATTTTAAAATGTTTTCAAAATAAGTCTGGCACTTTGGAGAAAACCCAGGACTCACTGGAGGGATTGTGTACCTCCTCTGGCCTGGGAACGTCTCGGAGTCCCCCAGGATGAGCTGGAAAGTGTCGCTGGGGAGAGCGGGGTCTCTCTCCTGCTGCCCCCGCGACCCGATCCCAGATAAGCCGGCCGGACGGACAATTTATATTGTTAGTCTAAATTATTACATTTAAAATTATAACTCTAGTTCAAGCAGAATAGCCTATTGTCAACATAATTATGGAGTGTAATTTATTTTCAACTCAAAATATCTTCAAACTAACGAAATATAAAGTTATGTGAGGAAAACCCGTCTGGATAACAGCAGACTGACTGCTCGTAAAATATACAACAGGTCTGGACCACTCGTGAATTTTGTTCGTATCTGAAAAAAATCTTAGAATATGAAAACATTGGTGAATGCCACAAATTCTCCTAAATCACTCGTACGCACAACTTAAGAACAAATCTGTGCGTACGAATGGTTCTTGCACGAGGCCCAATGTCTACTTTTCAGCTTGTTTTCTGCCTGTCAACTTCTGATTGGTCTAAACAACCTATTAGCAAAATGAAACCAGCATTCTGATTGGCTTGTGTTGCTTGATATCCACGGTTCTGGATGAGTAGATGAACAAAAACTTGTGTCAGAAACAACCAGTGGCAGAAAAGTGGGGAAGGGGGGTCAAACATAGAGGGAGGAAAAAATATCTCTAATTCTAAAGAAAAATAGGTCCAAATGTAACCCCAAACTATTTTTGTTACAAAAACTAGACAACCACAACCAGTCCAGCCTACAAGCTTTGTTCAGAGCCTAAAGTGTTGTAGTTTTAATCAACGTAACATTGAAGTTTCAGTCAAGGACAGCCACTCTGAGGCGCCTGACCACTGCAGCTGCTGTGACGCCCCCTTTCCCTCGTGCCGCTTTTCCCGCTCACAGAAGAACCAGTCACTTTTTGCCTCCAACAGAACAGATGTTTTGGTTTTAAATGTGAAATACGCAAACAAAAGAGTAGCGTAATGACAGGAAAACTGTCCCAGGGACTGGGAATGTCAGGAGATGTCAACAAGTCTATCACCGGCTACAAGACCAAGATTTACCTGCTTAGATTTACCTCTAGGATATGTTTTTTTGTTCACTATCAAATTAAAAATAAACCAATATTCTCAACATTTGATGATGCCTACAGATGAGGTAAAGATGACGGGAGGAGGAAGTAGCTGCTTTTAAGTTGGCCATGGTTGATTAGATGTGGTGGCCATCTTGAACTGGGTAGACTTCAGAAGCTAAACAGTTGAAGCTCTACCTCTAATGTGAGAGTTTGAATATATATATATGAATATTTTGCTCTTAAAACAAGTTTTCAGGAGCACAATAATTCTTAGTTTTTGTGTCGTAAAATGAAGATTTTAAATTAATTAAAATCGTTTATATATAAAAACCTGAAAAAGTCCATTGGTACAACTGAAACTGTATAATTCAGTTCTTTTTTTCATTTTTCAGATAAATGTTTGTAACTACTCACTTAATTCGAATCGGATTCGATTTTATGAATAGGATAATGCGATACAGGTTAAACAAAATGATAAATGTTAGCTCAACTGGTAGAGCTGCTGCCTCTCAACGGGAAGGTTGCGGGATCGATGAGCTGGGGATCTTTCTGGGTAGAAGTTTGCATGTTCTCTCTCTGCATGCGTGGGTTTTCTCGGGGTACTCTGGTTTCCTCCCACAGACCAAAGACATGAATGTTATGGTGCGTTCACACCGAACGCGTTTTGAGCGGCCAAAAAGCGCAAAACGTCTCTCACTGGACGCTCTATGTTCAGACTGAACGCACTAGTGTTCAGACCAGAACAAGCAGCGGCAGCAGCGAGGTGTGGGAGGAGCGTGTCCTCGGCGGGTGAAATAAAGATGAAGTAAAAGAAAATGGCTTTGATTTTTTTACTAAAAAGCAAGCTAACGTTGCGCACAGCAGATAATTAACTCACCAGATGATTTAGAGGCAATTTGTTCGGTTAGTTTCATCACTCCAGAAGCTGCCAGCTGACGAACTTTTTTCTCTCTTTTTTTTTTTTTTTTTTGGTCCCGAGCAGCTGATCCACATCGGTGCTGATAAATCCTGCCAAAAAATCCAACTGCACACGGTCGATTTCAGGTAAAGATCTCCAGTCCGTCTGTTTAGGTTTTCAGTGGGAGACGCGTCGAGCGGCGAAAAGTTCAGATATTTGAACTCTGGCGGCGGCTCGGGCAGCGGCGGCTTCTGCAGCACCGCATGCACGGAAAACGCTCTGCGCCCCTTCCGCCTTCCTTGCGCGCCGCTCATAACGCGCGTGACGCGACGCACAACCCCTTGAGGCACGTTCGCCATAGACTTTGCATGTAAACTGGCAGCTCCTGCCGCTCAAAACGCTCTCGGTGTGAACGAGCCTTAAATTGTCCCTAGATGAGAGTGAATAGTTGTTTGTATTGTTTTTCTCTGTGTCCCTGTGATAGACTGTCCAGGGTGTACTCCGGCCCTCACACAGTGACTGCTGGACATGAGTGCTAGTGACCCCCATTACCTGGAAAGGAAGAAGCGAGTATAGATAATGGCTGCATAGATAAAGATTGAACATGTCTTTGGGAGAGGTGGGGAGTGGCAAGGGGTTCTGATGACCACTAGATGGAGACAAAAATGCCACAAAACTGGATGAAACAAAAAATTCAACCCTTTCGTCAATATTTATTACAATTTCCTTTCATCTTAGCATGTTTTGAGTTCTACCTTTCAGGCTTAAAACTAAACTTTGTAGACATCAAAGATGCTCACAATGAAAATAAAAGTCTATCAATGTTAGCTTTTTTGTCAAATGATATTGTAAAGACTGATAGTTATTTAAAAAGCAATAAATATTTTAATTTAGTTGACTTTGACTTCTCAGTTATCATTTTATTGATGGTATAAATCAGAGAGATTGAACTTCCATGGATAAGTTGTGTGTTGGAAAACAAATCAGAGCTCAGAGAGGGTAACTTCCAGTCAGTCCAGTGTAGTATGTTGCAGTTTAAGCCTCTGCTTGTGATCTCAACAGGATTTAAAGTTTTTTAGTTTGATGATAAAAAAACAAACCAAAAATAAATAAATAAATTGATCATATAACCCTAGATTTGGCTCTGTGATTAGATCAAAGACTAGCAACAATACTGCATGACTGCTAAATCTGGTTCTAATGTTCTATAATTTTAGGTACCCAAACAAAGAAGTGAATGTGTCAATATGAACTAATAAGAGGCCTAGTAGTCCTTGAAAAAATGCAGATTGCCTGCTGCTTTTAATGCTGAGTTTTAGATTTACATCATCAGAATGTTGACAAGGGAAGTTTTGGTCAAAACTAGTAAATTCATTTACACAGCCTTATGTTATAAAACAGGGTGTGGCAACGGTATGTGTTCAATGAGTCTCAGCTACATGTGCAAAGGACAAAAAATTCTATTCTATTCTAGCTACTACCACACCAAAATTTATCTCAATAAAACAGACTGTTATACAAGAATGGGAAGTCAGATCCACAGCCGGATCAGTGCAGTTTCTGCAGAGTTCTGTTTTCTTTGTGCCAGTCTGTTGTGGTGAAGCTGAGGTGAAAGACAAAGCTCTCTGTTTTTGGTCAGTCGAAGTCAACTATCATCACAATCTCTGGGTGGTGACCAAATGAACAAGACTGCAGATACAAATGATCAAAACAATTTTTCTTCAAGGCCCTGTCACGTTACACAATTTATGCCAACTTATGAAAAGTTTGAAGATATCTACATTGAAGATGGAATAAAATAATACATTGGAAGCCTCTTTTTAGCATGTACATACTGCAATGCTAACAAACTGATCAAATGTCTAATTTTTATTAGAAATTTAGTGGAGAAACTGTTTTCATAAGTTGGCATAAGTTGTCTAAAACATCATAGTGTGACAGGGCCTTAAGAAACAAGGTGAGAAGTTTAGTTATCTGGAAGAAACTCAGAGTAGAGCTGCTGCTCCTCCACATCGAGAGGAGCCAGTTGAGGTGGTTTGGGCATAAGGATGCACCAGGGATATACAATTGGGAGGAGACCCTTAGGGAAGACCCAGAACATGCTGGAGAGATTATAACCCTCGTTTGGCCTGGGAAGACCTTCAAGTCCTTTCAGAAGAGCTGGAAGATGTAGCCGTGAAAAGAGATGTCTGCCCTCCCTGTTTAAGCTGAGGCCTTGTATCAAGCAGCCGTCAATCCATAGATGGTATCAGATTAGCACACATAAGAGATTTTGTTGATATACAGCTTTTAAAGCCAGATGAGTTCCCACTTCACCAGGTCTGAAGTTTCGGAGCTCCTCAAGCAGACCGATGTTGAGAGAGCTTTCACCAAGGCTGTGTGCAGTAAAGGGTGATAATGGGTCACTCAGAGGTAGAAAAGTGAAATGGTAAAAATAGACGTGCTGAAACGTGTGCAGAAGACAGCTGCTATGTTTGTTGATTCAGATAAAGCACGATGGTCAAGAGACAGATTCAGGTTTGACGTTGTTGTTTAAAAAAGGGCCTTCATTTAGCGCCCTCCTCAGGACAAACTCTGATAGAGAACAAAGCTGTGAATGTAGGGATGCTCTCGGAAACAGACATCTGTTCTTCTTAAAAATAGAAAAGTATTTGTCAGTTCTGATGAACAAATGTTAAGACTGTAAGGAACCACTAATCATCCCGTGACAAAGGAGGTTTAAGCACAGCGATGCTCCTTTAGTTACTCTTCTTCGTACACATCTAACTCTTCAAACTCACGAAACAATCACTCATTTTGTCCTTCTAAATGCCAGCTCCACAACACTTTGTGATCTTGACATTTGTGTTGCTGCCACTCCAGCTCAAGTTGAGCTTAACACATCATCAGCCCTCAGCTGGCACTTCTTAGCAGCTCTGTTATCATCCCAGCATGTGCCGCGGTACAGAAAGGGCACACATCCCAACCTGGAGACACAAAGACAGAGGAGCGCGTGCTGCGTGTGTTTGTCATTGAAAATTCAAAGACGTCTAACAGTCTAATGTGTTGTCTCTCCTCCCCCGCCTCCCTCTCTCTGAAATTAGAGAAGACGAGAGATCCAACAGCTTCTTTCTGTTCAGCTCCTGTTCCAAGCGATCAAAATATAACCTCCCCCGCTGCCCCCCACCCATGGAGCGCGTCCAGCATATGACCAAGTCGGCCATCCGCCGAGCCTCTCAGATCGAGGTGAACCCCCAAGCCAAGAGGAACCTGCAGGAGCTGTTTGTCAACTTCACCCTCATCCTCATCTGCCTGCTCCTCATCTACATCATCGTCCTGCTCAGCAGCTGAGAGCAGACTCCTCTGGGTTAAACCCCGCCCCCACCGCTGATGTGCAGTGTGGATGTATGTACGTCTGCTGTGTGAAGTTATATTCAACACAATGTCTAAGATAAAAACCAAACACGATGGGTTTTATTTTATTCTTTTAACATATCACTGTCAAAGCCCACTGAGGTCTAACCATTGTGACATTGTTTTCCAGAGCTGCCTCAGCGATAAGAACTTAAAAGCTAAAACTTTACCAGGATAAAAAAATGTGGACAATACAACAGTTTCAAGGATCTGCATTATGAGACAAAATATGCATTTTCTGTTTCTCCCTCTGAATTTTCTCAAACTTCTGGTCTGACAAGAACTAACTTAGGAATGGATGATAAAATATAGTTAACGTGTGTTAGATGTGAAGAAAATGCTATGGGTGATTTTAAGGTAATTTAAAATATTACTCTGGCGCCACCCAGTGGTTGAATCATAGCAACACAAAGAAGTGTTGTATGTTTTTGATTAACCCTCCTGCTGTTCTTAGGTTAAAATCATCCGAGGCAAAGGCAGCAGGAGGGTTAATTTAGGGTAAACAGTGGTTCCCTAATTCTGGTTCTGGACTATGATGGGGGTCTTGAAACACCAAGTATGGAGTCATGAAAAGTCTGACATAAATCAAGTTCTTAGCATGATTGCCAAAAGTAGTCATAAATTGATAAAATAATACAATGAGGGATGAGCTCCTTTGTTAAATAGCTTTCTAAAGTTAATCACACACCAATAATCGGGGTAACAAGTATATGTGACTTATTTTGTAGGTCTAATCTGAATATTTTGGTATCAAGACATCTGTAGAATATATTTTATGGCATTAAAGATTTGCGACTTTTCTGAACAGAATCTCACTAACTTCAGTCACTGTAAGGCATTTTAAGATACATATCTCAGAGGCTTATTTTTTCCATAACCTTGATTTTAACCTAAAATGTATTAATTCTTCTTGGTAAATCTGTGACCTAGAATGAAATGAAGTACGTTTAAATGATGTGAAGTGTTACAGTTTGCCTACAGAGGAGCTCTTTATGCATGGTTTGATTTTTAAGTATTTTTTAGTCACAGAATGTTTATTAGGGTAGCAAACTGACACTCTGTGTTGTTCTTGTATATTGTAACAAAATTACATAAAGTTTGTGTAAGTCCATTATATATAAGACTCATTTAATCTCATTATTGCTTTAGAAAGAAATCTTTTAAAAAGGTTACCAATTAGTTTTTCCACTGTCAATTTTTATTTCGATAAACTGTAAAAGTAAATATTCACAAATAAAACCTTTTTGCTCTACATGTATATTTGGAAGATTATACTGACCTTATTTTCAATCTTTCACATAAAATAAACTTCATGTTAATACAGTTAGAGTGGTTTACTTTTTTTCATTTGTATGACATGTTGATTCCTAAAAAAAATTCAGGGATAATCTAATCTAATCTAATCTGTCTATGTTTCAATAGAAAGTCATAAATCACTACAAACATGGTCCATTTGTGATAGTTTGTATCTATGAGAGTCTTGATTGACTTTCATGTCAATATACAGTATGTGTTTGGAATAGTGAAATAAATCTTAAAATGTAGGCAACAGATGTGTATAGTTAGAAATAAATATGTAAATTACATGTATAATAAACAGATCAATGCAGCTTCCACAGTATCGTGGACTCTGTACTGGTCCATTGTGGTGAAGAGGGAGCTGAGCTGTAAGGTGAAGCTCTCAGTTTACCAGTTGGTTGCTACCCTCAGGTGTGGCCACAAATTCTAGGTAGTTGTTGAAAGAACGAGTTCACAGATACAGGTGGTCAATATCACTTCTCTCCGTAGGGTAGCTGAGCTCTCTCTAGAAACAGAGCGACAAGTTCAGCTATCTGGTAGTAGAATCACTACTCTTCCACATTGAAAGAGGCCAGTTGCGGTGGTTCGGGCACCTGATAAGGATACTCCTGTGTTGCCTCCCTACAGGGAGGTGTTCCAGGCATATCTAACTATGAGGAGACACCAGCTGGTCTGGGAACACATTTGTGTCCCACTGGAAGAGCTGGAAAAGGTGGCTGCAGAAAGAGGTCTCTATTCAAGCTGCTGCTCCTGCAACCTGACTTAGAAACAAGCAGAAGATGGATCTTCTTTCGGCTGTTCGCTCTTCTGAGGATGGCCCAGCAAATCATCCTCCTTTTCTCTATCCTCTCTAACTGCATTCATGTGTCCATTTGCTTTTCTTTATTTTATTTCTTTTGATTGATTGTGATCATTTTTGTTTGCGTTAATGAAAGTGTGTTAATGAAATCTTTGTCTTTTTCCTGGCAGCTGCATCTCTAACATCCTTCTACCAACACTGTCCCTCCTCTGGACATGTCCAAACCATCTCAGTCTGGTCCCTCTAACTTTATCTCCCAGTAGTTCAACCTGTGCTGTACCTCTGATGATCGATCCTTGTCACTCCAGAGGAGAACCTCAACATCTTCAGCTCTGACACTTCCAGATCTGTCTTTTTGTCAATGCCACCGTCTCCAAACCATCTACAACAGATAATGGGTGGTATAACTTTATGATCGCTTTAATAGCCCTAAACATTCTTAACAGGCGGAAATTTGCTAAAACATTTTCAGGTAGGAGGAGTTTTGAGCAAAAGAGTCAAAAGTTCAACAAAACACAAACTAAAACACAAGGAAGTTTTTTTCCTCACAATCATATATTTATTGTTCCATGACATACAACAGAAATAATATAAATATAAATTTTGTTATAACTGTGTTCACTTCAAAAAGGGCAAGACGTACGATACTGAATGATAAAATCAAAGTTCAGTTCTTTAACACTGCAACATATTTGTTGCATGCATTAATTTTTGTCCCGATGCCCTAAATCTCAGTTTAAAAACACAGAACTAAAAAAAGTACTAACTAAAATCTGCGTGACAAATGAAAATACACATTTACATAAAAGTATAATGGAGGAAACAAAAATGTGGAAAAATGGATTTTTGATAAGCTACGTTTCTGTGCCAATGAAGAAAACTGTTTTGGCTGAACAAAACCAAGCTCCTAAATTGATTTAAAGATTTTTTAAACTGCTCCCAAAGAAGAAAAATAAACGAGTGCATGTTCAATACTTTGTGTATCTTTGTCAAAACATAAGTTTTTACCAATAATGGTTAATCCTCCTGCTGCCGTTGGGTCAAAATGACCCATAGGGCCTTATTTTGACCCAAGGGCAGCAGGAGGGTGAAAGGTTGAGGGGCAGTTTTGAACTTCAATAAACTTTAAAACAATAAAAAATTGAATTGCTTGCAAACACGCCAGAATGGTTTTAATTTCATTATGAGGGACGTTCTTCAAATATTCAGCAGCAAAACAACAAAAAAAAATTAGGCAAAATTTGATGTAATTGTGAGAAAGAATATAAATAAATAAATAAATAAATAAATAAATAAATAAATAAATAAATAAATAAATAAAGCCCTCTTACCAAACAGAGAGGTTGAAGCTTAAATGTTCAAATTTCACATTGCCGTTAAATAAATCTAAAAATTCACAGTGTTCATGGAGGAATCATCCAATCCAGGTGGTAAACCCATATAGACGTCGCTCTTTTCTCTTTATGTCACTCATCATATTTACATTTACTTTAAGACATTCAGCACAACTTCTGCTTCGTGTTACAGGACAGTTGGATCAACCGTACGGTAAAACGTTAAGGTCAGAGCTGAAAAACGTCACTTTCTAGTGTGACATTTACCGGTATATTGTTTCAGGAAGTGTTTAAATCTTCACCCAGTGACAAAACATTTTGACCCATTTTCATAATATCTAGAAATTGTTGAGAAGATTCATATTAGTCTTCACACATTTAACAAAAACACACTTTCTTTCAGGCACAAAAAGACTAAATTAACACTAGGCTGAACGTTCAGCATCATGTTTCCATTTCTTAGGTCTAATGTAAACCATAAAAGCTGAAATATCTGATTTTTAAGAGGTCAACTCAAGATAAGATGCTGCAAAAAGCATTATTAAATGGTACTGAAGCCAATGAAAACAATAGTTTTTTTTTAACCAGGTTAAAAAGTATTTAAAAAAAGGTCCAACACAAGTTTGAGCTTTATGCTATACCCTCTCAAAAACAACAGTTACTGCAAATCTCTTTATTCAGTTGCTGTAGTAACTCTACCAGGCCTGTGAGTGGCGCTGTGATGATGCCATTAAAAAAAGAAACAAAAACAGGAAACAAGTTGAAAAGCATAAAACTTATGCAAACACAACAAGAAAAAAGAGCTCGCCCTCATGTTGTAGGTCAGATTAGAGGCAGGGCGATGATGTCATTTTCAAAATGCTAAAAAACGCAATAAAAAGTAAAAAAAATTTTATTCACAAAAATCTTTTGTGTGGACAGCCGTTACATTTAGAACAGATTTAACACCAACATGGTTAAACCTTAAAGCTGAGCTTCTGAAGTAGGTTATTTTGGAAAAGTTATGAGTTATTAATATATTAACTGTTGCAGATAACTTTTTAAATGACCTCAGTTTGGAGTAATCGTTTTTAAATCTGACCAGACTGATGAGCTAAAGGCTATTGGGGTTAAGGCAAAAGTGGATTGCTGCTGACTTACACTGGTTCATCTGAATACTTATTTATAAATATTTCCATCGCCACCTGTTTTATATTATACAGCTAATGCAAAAAGCAGCAGCCACTAGCTGGGATTGTGAGATTTGTCATAATAAAAAATAACAGACAAAAATGTAAAATTTTAAGACATGTTTCTACAACCTATAATAAAATACTTGAGACTGGTGTCATTTTAAGAGGAGAGCAAACCACTTTGGCCTTAATCACAGATTATCATCTCATTAATCCTGTCAGGATGAACTTACTTCACCAAATGGAGGCAGTTCAAGGAGCTACAACAAGTAAGATGTTGACTGTTAATTTTGTTTGCATGTGAACTTCACTGGTTGGACTTTTAAACACTTCCTGAATGACCGACGTCTCAGCTGACTGTTAGGAAGACAAGTTCGTTGCGCTGAGCTGAAACGTGTCGGGGACTCCTAAACTCGCTTTCTGAGAACAAATGGACCCTCCGTCATGGTGGTGATGACCATGCAGTTTGAAAAAACTGTACAGATTTTTCTCAATGGTATCTAGTGCAAGAAATATGTAAACTTTCAAGTAAAAAATAAATAAATAAATTAAAGCACAATAAAAAGTGTTGACGTGAGACTTTAAAGTGAGTGACAGCAGCATGGGGGTGTTTCTGTTTTCACATGCTCTGTGGTCTGAAGCACCGACAGAGACGTGCAGAGGAGGAGTTCACTTTTTCATTAAATTCTGGACTAAGCGGTCCTTGGCATAAAAACAAAAAAATCAGCTAGGAGTCATTCGACTGACAGAACTCCTCCTCTTCACGTCTCTGACCCGGTGGCATCGCAGACAGACCACAGAAAAAAACAGGAGCTTCTTAGATTATAAATAGCCGAATAATAAAAATACGAAGGGCACTCGATTCGGTTTATCTGCAGGTTTCTCCTCCTGAGACTGCTGAGGCATCTGAAAGCGGCGAATCGAGTGCCCCTCGGTCAGCTGAAACATTTTGAAAATGACGTTCAAACACGTATTCTATGTACAGTCGAAGCAGTGAGACAGCAAGCTAAAGATTTCAGTTTTGGATCGTTTGCTGGTGTTGTCACTTAAACCTTTTTTGGAGCTGCAGAAACACAATCAGAGACCGGGTCGGTCCTTTCTACAGACACAAACCCAGAACATGAGACATTAAAGGAGACTTTAAAGGCATTAATCACTTCCTTCAGGCTGAACGCTAAGAACACTTCATCAGATTCCAGATTATAGGTCACAAAAACAAACACCAACTATAACTCACAAAGCTTTGTGCGATCAAAACGTTAAAAGGCTGAACTTATTCAGGTTTAACATTGTATTCAGGTTATTGGGTTTCTGACAATGGGCCTCATGCAAGAACATGTTCGTATTTTTATCCTAAATTTCTCTTACTTTTGTTCGTACAAAGGGTTCGTACGAACATGTCACGTCAGATTCAACAAACTCTTCTATCTTCAGGAAAAGTGCGTAAATGAGCTGCGTAATTTACACCTGTTCTATCCAGCTGCTCGTGCACGAGGAGAGGAGATTAGCATAATTACCACCCCAAAAACACCATATAAGGCTATGTTTCCTGCCTCAGATATCAGGAAGTGTTCATTCATGAAAATGGCAGTGAAAACTTAAAAGAAAAACTTTACGAGTTCAGAGATTGAAGTCCGTCTGTCAGAGA